TTACAGAGAAATCGATCTTCAGTTGTCAAAGTAAAGACGCTAATTATTTCTTTATCAAAATTAAATTTCAGAATATTTATTTTTCATCATATTTGATGTTTATCGTGTTATTACTGACATACATACCGATAGTAGCACAACTAAGGATAGTAAAGTTACTCTCTCCCTTCAAAATGTGATTTTTTTATGTAATATATTTAGTTACTAAAAAATGAATCCTGGTTAAGTTACTGTTAATATACATATATTATATAACTAATACAAATTTTAAACTATCTGTTATTAAAATTTTTTTTTTTTTTTTGATGATCTAGAAATTGAAAACACAATTGGAAAATTCCATTAAAAGCACTTTAAGCGAAAATAAAAGTAAAGATATCAGAAACATGGATGAAGGTAAAAACATGTTACTTTTTCTTATAATATTACTGAACTCGGTGTCGCAAATAGAGGAAGCTGGAGACAAACCCCCCAAAATTCAAATTCCTATCTGTAAAAATATAAAATACAAAATTTCTAAAATGATAAAAATTTAATTTAAAGATAAAAGTTCTGGGGGTTTGAACCCCCTGAATATTTTTTTTATTGCCTATTCGACTATTTTTACTATGAAACATAGTAATAAAAATAAATAATTAGCCTTGAAAAAACGATATGTTATAATAATTTTTATATTGATGTAAACCATTTGATTCTGTTTTAGACCTGCAGGGATACGAAAACAATTATTGTGTATCTAATAATTGTATAACCTTTGAATCATACATGGATTCATCCAGAAAATGTTGCTGCATTATTTGCTACGATAAATGTGTTTTTTTCAAGTTTTTACCGTGTAAACATAAGTATTGCCTCGACTGTGTCGAAAAAATGTTTGAAAATAAGATGTTTAATTGTCCGCTTTGTCGCCAACCATTCAAGAGATTACAACTTGCACTTACACTTAATTGAAATAACTTTTATTTTTAAAAATACATTTATTTTTTTTTACAATTAATCAAAGTGTCATGAAACTAGAAGTTTTATTTTAATATGATTACTTAAAAAACTTCAATTATAAATTAAATTATTTGTAAAAAAAATAATATTATAGTATTATTTAATAACTATTTTATTATACTTATATGTTTCTTTGAAGTATTCATGTATATACATTTGATTAAAACAAAAATATAAATGATATTATGTATATTTTTTGATATTTTTTCTGATAAAAACTTCTCTTCTGTATCATTGTTTCTTGATTATAAATTTTAAACTAGGTAGGTATTCTATTTTTTTTTATATTGGTTTATTATGACGACTTTATCTGCTTTTATCTATGTCTTTCTATTTGGAAAAGGTAATGTATATCTAGAATTCTGTTACACCTTTCTCTAAGAAGAGAATATTCACTTCTGAGGACGATTTACCGGTGGAGTAGGTTCGGCAGGGCAACATAGAGAAAACGAGGGTGAGGGAGAGACTACAAAGTAGTATTTTTTGACCTTGCCAAGGTTCGAATCGATGACCGCGTGTGTCATGGCCAGTTGTGTGATCATTGCACCGCACCATCCACGGATAGGTACTCAATTTATTATAATATATTAGTATCAAATATTCTGAAAATGTTTTAACCATACTATTTTTATCATAGAAAAGGTATTAAATATGTTATAAGCTTCACTGTTGCAGATTATTTTTAAAGGTACTACTTTTAGTAGATACATCGGTTCCTTGAAAGCCAAATACTTTAAAGTGCTATATAAAGAGTATTAAAAAGATGCTCAAGTGGGTATCACTCTGCCGGGGTTGGTAAATTGGATCCAAATGACCTAATTTCGGTAAATTGGGTCCTGAAAAAATAGGTACCTAGTAGGTAAGTTGAGTATCGGAAAAAAAGTAGTAAGTAAATTGAGTCATGGACAAATGTTAGTATGTTAATTATAGTACGTCAAATTTTATAATTATAGTATAAATATATTATATAAATGGAATGAATTAAAATATATGTGGTTTTTACAACATAATATTATCGGTAAAAGCTTAAATGATACAGATTTAACAAGTTCAAATCAGATTATCATATTAATAATATTTTTTGTGATTTGTTTCCTGAAGTGACTTAAACGAGCGTAATTTATTTTTTTTTGTTACGTGCTTCGTAATTGTATATACGTCTCAAACTAGAATAAAATAAAAAAACAATTTGTAAATATTTGTTGGGACGACTGACGAATTTCGAATACTACGCTTCAGCTGCACATATTTAAATACTAAATATTTTATATTTTGATAGCGCAATATCTAAATACTTCCTGTTACAATGGGAAATAAAAAAAAAAAAATAGTAATAATAAAAGTGTTTAATAAAAGTGTTAATTAAATATACTTATTGAAAATATTGTTAATAAATTAAAAAATAATCTGATAAATTATTATTTCTATGTGATCTTTTTTCTCAGCCATTGTAGCAAACTGTATTCCTTAGACTATAAATTATAATCCAACTAATGATTGAATATTATTGGTTTTATGAATAAAAAATTAATTGTAAATAACATTGGATAATATTATATAAACAAACTAAAAATAAAAAAAAATGTAGGCCATTAAGATTATAGAAAAAATAATTAACTAATATCAAACATAATTAAAAATATAATAATAATTGCTAATTACCTTACAACATTTTTTTCCATAATAGAAATATTATTCAATTTTTTTTTGAAAATAATAGATACCTATTAAGTATTTTAAATTTTAAAGTACCTACCTAGCAGGTAGCTATGTGGTCTATTTGTATGACCTTAATTTTTTTCAATTATAACAAAATTATACTGACACTTCATATAATAATATGAAATTTGAGTTACTGGTACCTATTTCCAAATTCAACTTTATGGAAGCAATATTAAATCATTTTTCAAATAACTAGTTCCGATTATTCTGAATTAACATTATTTTTAGAAAAGGCAGAAGTACACTATAGTCTGTTTTAAACAATAGACAGCCAATTTTCATCGTTTTTATCGTTTTGTTTTTAGTATTAGCAGTCAATGAAATAATAATGAGTAATCTATTTTAAATATTAAACTCATACAGCATAATTATAAGTTATAAAAAAAAGTATGATTTCAGAGTTCGCCATTAATAACTATTTAAAATATTCTTAAATATTAATAATAGAAATTTACAGTTGAAGCTGCTTTTTAGGAACATGGATAATTGATACAATCGTGTTAATGAAACAAAATGTCCTGGGATGGACCGGCCGTATATTAGAATGATGAAAATAAATTGGATTATTGAAACATTACATCAGTTATTTGAAACAATTAAGCAAAGGTCAGTTGACATATACATCGGTTATCTGGCGATAACTAACGTACTTAAACATTATCTTTGCTGTAGTTCCGTTTATTTTTACTGTACTTTATCGTAAGTATAGTAGGTACATATGCAAAAATGCTTTTTCCTGTACGTATTGTTTGTAATTCGAGGCACCCTTGACACTCTCAACAAGGAAAGAAATTATGAAGCTCTTAGTGTCCTCAGGAGAGTAGTCCAGTATCGTGCTAATTAAAAATACTTTTAGCAGCATTACTCGTATGAAAATATGGTCATGGAGTTTCTCAACGCAAAAAAATAAACACTGATAGATACATACAAATTTTAAATAATATGGTAAAATATATACATACTTTTTTAAATTATATATACATAATTAAAAATATATTGTTTATTTTTTAAAATGTATATTTTTCATATTTTTTTTTTTTTTATAGTACAAATCAAACCAATCGTTCATTAGAAACAATCGGTTAATTGATAGGTATTTTATAGTGGAATTTTATTTTATTTTTCAATAATTCTAATAACGATGAGATAATTGGATAATGTAATCATTAAGAAATAATAAAATAAGTTTGAAGCAATTAAACATTATTTTTAGTGTACTATATATATATATATATATATATATATTATTTCGTTAACTGTATTAATTAAATTTTCATATAACAAAATAATTATAAATTACTAATAATAATTATATTAATATTATAATACAAAATAAAATGTATAAAATAAATTTGTCATATAAATTGTTCAAAATGTTCACCATGCAAAATGTTCTAAACATCATTCAAGTTGCCTTAAAAATTCAGTCATTGTTGTCGCCTTGATTAACACGTCAACTAAATAAAAATTATCACATACTCGAGATACGGTGCAACACGATTACGCATATTTTACCTTTTCATATTTGAAAAATACAACACGAGCGCGTCTTTTAGGCTGGATTTAGTGCTCGACCGACGATCAGCGCTGACGTCGGTCGAACGTAGCTATATCAATGAATGCATATGAACAACTACAGTGTATCACTGATAAATTGCTACGCGCGTACAGCTACGTCGCGCTGACGAGGACCGTCGGTCGAGCGCGTCCGTCGGGCGTACGTCGGTCGACCGACGAGCTATTTTTAGCAATGCAAGAGTTTAGTTCTACGCTGACGACCAACTGACCGTACGCGCGTACACAATCTTTTTATTTTATTTTTATTAAGGCAATAATAATAATAATAACATTTTATTTTATGTAATTGTGTTGTAAATTGTTTATATTTGTTTATTATATTAATATAATTATAACAAAAAATGAACATCGATACCGAGCGTGTTATTTCTGAGGTGCATCTTCGACCGCCATTATGGGACCTATCTTGTGTATTGTACAAAGACCGTGATGCCAAAATAAAAGCTTGGCGCGAAGTTTGTCAAGCAATAGTACAAAATTTCGACCATGTGTCTGATAATGAAAAAAAAGTTATTGGTAAGTAAATAAAGATGTTATTTATAATCATTAAAAATATACTAATGAAAATCTAATTATATTCAATTCGATAGTACCTATTGTAGTATTTAAAAAACAACATAATTCTATTATATGAGTTAATTAAAGTTTTATTAGAGTAAATTAGTTATGTAAGTATAATAATATTTAAAAAAAAGCTCAATTTGTTTATATATATATTATAAATTATTAATAATTAAGGTATTATTATTAATGTAGATTGTATTATTAAAGTTAAAAGATACTAGCATCTTGCCACGATACACTTCCATCAGGAGAAACGAAATAATTGGCAAATTTATCCCTTATCATATCGCCTGTTCTAACAATATTATTGTTCATATTGAGTTGAAGTTCTTGAAACCCCTCAACAGTTAGTGTGTCTTCTACTCTGTAACCATCTCGTTCTCTTATGAAGTTATGCAAAACGCAACAAGCCTTTACGATTGTTATTGTATTCGGCAATGCAGTATTCATTGGTCTATGAAATATATTGAATTTATTACTCATTATTCCAAATGTAGACTCAATATACCTCCTTGCACGGCTTATTCTATAGTTAAAAATCTTCTTTTTTTTTGTCAAATTACTTCGTGCGTAAGGTCTTAAAACTTTGTTTGATATACCAAATGCAGAATCGCCGATTATCATATATGGAAGTGGTTCTGTAGTATTAGGTAGTGGTTTTGGTGGAGGTAATTTTATTTCTCCGTTATTTATTTTCGTAAATAAAGTGCTTTCCTTAAAAATAGTAGAGTCTGAGTCTGTTCCACATGCACCTACATGTATATAGGTGAAACGATAATCGGAATCGCACATGGCCAACAGAACAATAGAATAATATTTTTTATAGTTTGAAAACAAACTTCCACTGTGTTCAGGACAGATTATTCTTACGTGCTTTCCGTCAATACTGCCGATGCAGTTAGGAAAGTTTGCTATATTTTCAAAGCCAGCAGCGATTTTAAGCCATCCTTCTGTCGTATTCGGAATCGAAAGGCATTCTTCATGAAATAGATCCCAAATATTTGTACATACTTCTTTTATAATTCCACCGATAGTTGCCGTACCTAGACGGTAACTAAAATAAAGATCACTATATCTTTGTCCAGTTACGAGATACCTGAAATAAAAAATTAACAAATTAATAATTTTACAGAAAGGAATGTACAACAGCGGTGGAAGACGGCACGAGACGCTTACGTTAGGTGCAAAGCCACAATGAAGAACACAAAGTCTGGGTCTGCAGGTAGTAACAAAAAGAAATATGTATACTTTGATTGTATGCAATTTCTAGACAAAAAACATGTAATAGATACTGAGGATTCAATTGTAGAAAATCAGAGCACAATGGATGAATCAAATAACAAACCGACAACCAATGATGACGCTCTACCTTCAACGTCCAAAGACTCCAACTTTTGCCAACCAGAACAAACTACTGCTGCTGAACGGAAAAATATGCAAACAAAACGTTTTAAAAAGAGAACTCGTAATGAAGACGATAATTTTGATAGGGAAATGTTGAACATGTTTAAAGAAAATACAAAATTAATGCAAAACGATGACATGTCATTTTTTTGTTCACTTTTGCCGATTATGAAAACTTTTTCTAACCACCAAAAATTACTTTTCCGTTCTGCAGTTCTACAAAAAGCAATCGAAATATCTAGTAATTCTAGTGAAATCCGCCCGGGAACATCACATACATTTTCAACTTCAGAATCACAACATTCCGATGCTTCTACATCTTATATAACTGAAGTACCACAACAGTTTGAGGAGGCACTAGATGATGATTCAACATATTCTTTAGAGGATTTTGTTACTATGCAGAATTTGTAATAAAAAATATTATGTTGTATTATGAAGTATACCTAAATAATATAATGTCTTTTTATTATCTTTTAATCTCTAATGTCTTTTTTAATAAACAAAAATTTTTTTTAAATTAAAATTTGTTGAATTTTATTTTAAAATATAATAATTACCTTAAAGTCACGGCCAATCTTTCTGATGGTGACACAGGAATACGAAAAGTGTTCTGTCGCTTCAAAGATTCTTCAAGTTTTGCAAGCAGCTCGTCAAAACTTTTAATAGACATTTTGAAGTAATCAAAAAATTTTGATTCGTGATCTCGTAATTTTGAAAACAGCGTACAAAATTCCCCTTCAATTGGCCGGTCTACAATTACTGGGTGGACGTGATATCTTCTCCGTCTTTTTTTATTCCGTCGATTGCGTAAATAATACGCACATATTAATGAGTTAATAATGAATGGATTCATTTTAAAAGTTAAAGTTAACTAAATTAATTAATAACAAAATAACATACAACAACCGATCGAATTTGCCGTCGGCTAAGCACTAAACGCTCCATGACGACCGATGATCAGCGCGTACCGTCAGCGCGCACAATACGCGCTGATCGTCGGTACAGCACTAAATCCAGCCTTACTAAATTATCTTTAAGTTCTTGTCTCTGTTCAGCTTCAGTTGCCCATAAAATCGGTGGAAAAGCGGCATTAGATGATTTATAATTATTGAGTTTATAATCAGTGAATTCAAAATTATCAGTAGGGCTATTTTCTATTAAGCTGGCTATATATTTAAATGTTATTTCAATAATTTACTTACTTGGCAAAAAATTATATACTCTGTATAGCACGGCACATGAAATACATGAAAAAATAAACAAAAGGCATAGAAGTTCATTAAAATTGAAATTACTGTAATGGACATTTTTACTCAAAATAATTTCTCGCCAAATAAATAAATCATTGAAAAAAAAATTAAGTGTAGTTTAATTAAATTTACTTAGCATTTATTTATGATATCACATCATTCACATCTTTATAGTGCTTAAAGATCTGTTTTTTTTTTACTTGGCCGTTTTTACACGGAATTTAAGTGTTTTTGTTGTGATTTCTTTATTTACACACCACTTAGCGGTCGACCCGTTCTTTTACCTCCATGACTAGAAACGTTAAAATACGGTATTTTTTATTTTTCATTTTTTTTTTGTATAATACTATTTTATACTAGTATTATACCGTATAAAACCGTGTAGTACCTTAAATTATGGGAAATTTAACATAGATTATAAAACCATTGTCAATTATGAAATATGAATCATTTTAAAAGTAATTGATTGAAAAATGGCTAAAAGGTTAAAAAAACATTAAAAAAAATATATAATACAAGAGTAATTTTAAACTAAATTAATAATTAGTCATGCTACTAATAATTATGATGTACTATGTATCATATATTCATTTACCAATTGACTAGAAATTATTTAAATTTAAAATATTTTAATTATAATTCATATTTCATTGTAAATTATATTCTTCAATTATAAAATAAATTTGGATTTAAGTTATCTTATTATCTGCCAATTAATATATCTACTAATATTTTGGATGCACATTTTTTACTTATTGTAAATACTAAGTACTTATATTTAATGTCAGAAATGTAGTAAAAAATTATTTTATTTTTAAAAAGTTTAAATAAACAAATGTATTAGGGTATCTGTTTCTTATGTTAAATTTTTAAATAGAAATAAATCGAAAACCATAATTAATACTTATAATTTATGTACTATCTCATTGTTCCTATATATAATATTATAATAGTACAATTGATTTAAGTATTTTTACTTTAGATTTTTAACACATGGATGCTAAATAAATATGTTACAATTACAAATGATAATAATAAATAATAAAAGTATTATTTATAACAATAATAACTAAAAATAACGTCTTAATTTTTTTTTATACCACGTGTTTAATACCTTGTATAGTACAGTTTTGTATCACTGTATAAAACAAATTCACATCTCTATGTATGACAATATCAAGTAAAATATTAATATACCCAGATTATCGAAAGAAAATTTTATACATATTTTTTTAAATTAATTTTATTGTGAATGTCTTATTTTTCGGGCTCTTATAATAACTTATATTGCTAAAATCGGATCCATGAGATCAAATAATATTGTATTGTCGGTGTCCATCATTTGTATAAACCAGGCATGCCCAACCTTTTTCAACTGGCGGGCAACATTCAAAATGTATATTTGTACTGCGGGCCGTATATGCTTCATGGGTTTTTTTTTTTTGTTCATTTCGATAAAATATAGACTAGTCATAGGTATATCTATTGTACTTACACGTCTTTTTATTAAGAATTGGCGTTACACATTTCACTCCGAACATTGAAACATTGGTTAAAGAAAAACAAGCCCAAATTTCTCAATAATTTTTTTTTTATTAATATTCTAAAATCCCATGCATTTTTTTTTATATAAAAATTCAAAATTGTAAAATATTTTATATTTTTAAAAACTTAATAAAAATACATTTTTTGTAAATAATAATTTTTTTTTTTTACACGGGCCGATTGGAACACCTTCGCGGGCCGGATGCGGCCCACGGCCGCGGGTTGGGCATACCTGGACTATAAACTATCCGAAAAATGAATTACCACCGGTGTACGTGTGCCTGTGAGATACACACGCGTGTATGAATTGAAGAAGTCTTACAACACATTGCTCTTGTTTGGCCATTTAATTTTTTTACATCGCCTTAAACATGAAAATTATCAACACTTTGAATGGTTAATAATTTATGTAGCGTTAAAAAAGCATTTTGTAGGACATATTTGGTTATTTTTTTAAAATAATTTTTTGAAAGTATAGAACATTTAAATTAAGGCCCTGCTTATAATTTTAAAAACTAGATGTGAAAAATTGAATGATGGTGATTAAAATTTGATTTGCATAATGTTTTAATATATTTTTTTGATTTATAAAGTAATCGTTGTACCTACGCGAATGTCTAAAGTAGTTTATACAATCTATCTATTTTATACAGTGAGAGCTCGTATAGTCGTCAGTAGATTAATACATTTATTAAAACTATTATTTGAGTAGGAAAAAAATATATTTATAAGATTATAATGGTTGCATATAAGATATTATTCAATATTATATTCAATCTGTTAGTAACGGTCGATAGCTGAAGACATAGAGTAAACGTGCAGACGTGCCGGATTGAAGCCTGCAAACAACATATGTTTTGGGTGGTCTTCGGTTCTTTGAAACGACTGTATTATGTCTTCGTATGGGTAGTGCAGTTTCTACTTTATAGTCTATATTGTCCATATTATATTGTCTCTGCGGGGGTTGACCAGTGTATCTCTTGATGGTCCCATCGTTATTTGGGTGTACTATTGTGCTTTTGAAAATATTGTTTGTTATTCACAAAAATAAACGGTCTTACCGCGCATATAACAAAATGAAAAAGGATCGAAAAAAAAACATTCAATATAAACTAACGCGTCGTGTAGATTCGACGCCAACATGTCGCTCCCATTGAAATACAATTATAAAATAATATGTAAAAAAAAAATTAAGGATTTGTCACATTTTAGTATATCATATTATTATTATAAGATCCATTTCGAAGTTAGTATCTAGATAATTTATAGGAAATAATACATTAGTTAAATTAATTTTAAGATACTCCTATATACAATATTTATTTATATTTTTTTTATTTACAACTATAATCATTAGTTGTACCAGGTACCTGTGATTTAATATTTTACATAAATTTTAATTGATATATAATATTATAATCACTGGTTTATAGTTGAAATTTTAATTTTATTAATTGTAGACCAATAGGTAAAATTCTTCTTAACGTTAAGTTTATGAAAAAAATTAAATTCTCATTTCAATTTCTACGATTAACCCATCAATTAAACCACCTAAAATATATATAATTTACAAACATATTTATACATTTCTAAGTAAAAAAAACTTTGTGTTACACATTTTCCTTTATTTTTAATATTTATATGTATGGTAATATTAAAATGCTATGATAAAATGTTATATTATATTATAATTTCTCGTTATATTTATAATTTATATATATATATATATTTAAGATGATAGCATCGTATAAGATAATTTCCCCATTTGGAATCGTTATCGACTATATTATTATATTATCTAAATTATATATATACGTGTTTGTAATATTTCGATAATGTACGTCGGAATGACAGACGGTTGCTGAATCGCAGTTCTCCGTCGTTAATACTTGTTAGACTAATATATTATACTGTACGATTTATACGCAAGACTTGAATGCCTTTTTTTTAATATTCACACACAACACGCATTCCTAAGTTGACTCCGTTCCGTATTTAAATCTAATCTTATTAATAAATTTAATGAGGTTACGACAAATGACAAAATGATTGTATCATACATTTTGAATCACTTTGTTTATAATAATATTTAAATTTTGTATTATAATACCTTTGCGATGTTTCATGCTAAAATAGTTTCGATCTGTCGTATAAATAGTATACAATAAATTAATATACTAATAATCGTATAAATTATAATAAAAAAAAAATCAAAGAAAGTATAATATATATGGACTGACAAAAAGTCTCAGCGAATCGTTTTCAATACATATTATTTATCGTTGAACTCAAATTTAACACACATCCATTATTGTGATTTACATAATGGTATATAAATACAGTGTAATTTCACCGTGAAATAAAATGTGTGTACAGAATTCGTAACACATAATTAGATCGATTGGTAGGCATTTTTAAGTTTTTATTTTGTACGTGGATAATAAAGTAATAATAATTATAAAATCATAACAGATGGAAAAGACGAAATCGTTTGCTTTCAATCCCCTTCAAAAATTCACTGAATTGTGAATTTTTATATTTTATAAAATAAAAATAAAATTATGTACATAATAATATAATACAAATAGGTGTTGTGTGTCCAAATTCCGAATGACACTACACCAGCAGGTTTGGCACTCCTAATGTGTTGACGCGTTTGAACTACCTATAATATACCTGTGCAATTGTATACGTATAAAATAAATGTGTATGGTCCGAAAATATTTTATTATCACAATTTCAACCCAAAAGCCATTTATCATGACAGGCGACAGGTCGACCGTCGAGCGTCGGCGCCGGTACCCAGTCGAAATACTTGGTAAAGGACGATATTGGACGATCCTAAAATATCATTGTTACCTACAATATAACTGTGCTGCGTATTTTTTCTTTGTATCTGCAATGTTAGTGGCAATAATATTTTTTTTTTAAATATTCAGACAAATGTAGTTTGAATTCAACACGATTTAAACTAAAAAATAAAATAACACGTATACCTTAAAATAGGTAATGTAAGTGTCAACATTCGAAAACGATGGTAATAATTATTATATTACTAGATTAGACTAAAAAATATTATCCGTGATTTAAATCTCTAAATGTTCGAAATACAATTATTATAATTATTTATAAAAATTTTTATTAAATAATTTTGTATTAATAAGATACTTATACTTAATAATCA